TTAAGAGGAAATAAGGATAAAGAAAATAAAAATAGAGCGATATATTAATCAGAAAATAGAGGTAAAAAGATAATTCCATATTATTAGGTACAACTTTGCTTCCGCCGTTTTCCTATAGATGGCTTTAGCGGTAAGTGGTGATCGAAATAAGTAGATCATAGACGTCATATAATAAACTTGGACATCTGTCAACATAACCCCATAGAAACATTAGTCGATTTGTATCTGTATCATAAAGTTATTCTTGATTGAAAATGTTAGTTTACGAGCTAAATTCTCGTCATTTGCGGGAGATTTTAATTTTTTGCTTCAATATGAAGAAATCTGTGGCTGAGGGTCATCGAATGCTTTCAAATACTTATGGTGAGGCCGCCATTAAAAACGTGAAAGAACGTGTCGTGAGTGGTTTCAACGCTTCAAGAACGGTGATTTTGACATCGAAAGTCATGCTCTGTATTTGGTGGGACTAGCTCGGCGTAGTGTATTATGAACTGTTAAAACCGACTGAAACAATCACAGGCGATCGGTAACGCAATTGATGCGTTTGAGCCGAGCATTGAAAGACAAACGGCCGCAATACAACGAGAGACACGATAAAGTGATTTTGCAGCATGACAATGCTCGACCCCATGTTGCAAGACATACTTGGAAACGTTGAAATGGGAAGTCCTACCCCACCCGCCGTATTCTCCAGACGTTGCTCCCTCTGATTATCACTTGTTTCGATCAATGGCACGGCCTGACTGACCAGCATTCCGGTCTTATGAAGAAGTAAAAAATTGGATCGATTCGTGGATAGCCTCAAAAGATGACCAGTTTTTTTGACGCGGGATTCGTACGCTACCCGAAAGATGGGAGAAAGTAGTGGCCAGCGATGGACAATACTTTGAATCATAAATATATAACCAATTTTTTACAATAAAGCCTCGAATTTCGGAAAAAAAACGGCGGAAGCAAAGTTATACACCTAATAATGTAAATGTGAATGAAACTTAATGAGAAGAAATACGGGAAATACATATGTTGTATGTATGTAATTAATATATCACTATATTTCTCTTTCCTCCTTATCTTCGTTTCTTCGTAAAATGTCAATTGTTCGTTTTACTTTACGCAGAATATTACACCAATATATATATGCAATGCATTTCGCATATAATTTAAATGTTATTTTCTTAACGATAAGGGAAAGCATATCTTGAAAGATAATTCCATCTTAATGGGGAAAAAGTAGGAATGTCCAAGAGTTATTTGCGAACAGATCCTCGGTGAAATATCGGCGAAAGATCTCTCGCCTCTCAGGAAGATTTCGCGCAGCGACCACCGAATAGATTGCAAAACTTCTCCCGTGCCGTAAATAACTCTCCTGTAGTCCAGAAACAACGAGATTATTCTTGAAACTTAGAGGATATTTCAAGGGGGAATCTCGAGAATGCCGAACATAAACGTCGACCTATTTTCCTATTATTAAACCTCAACCTGACACACGTCCTTCTGCGTGAACGATCGCGTCAGGAAAAGGAAAACTTGGAAAAAGCAAGTCATAAAAATATGTTCGAAGACAACAACAATTACCGAGAAAATAACACGAAGTTCCGCTCGTGGTAACTTTGTAGAGCTTTTCTTTCGCACAACTTTCGATACTTACGGTAATCGCTAAAGGTTAAAACAGATCGCACGGTTGGACCGCAGAATCATGTATCCTTTCCTCATTTGCATGTCGTGTAAACATCGACTCATTGTTAAAAATTGATCAAGAGGAATGATGCTAATATAATTCAAAAGAAATCTTGACGTCCAATATTAAAATGCTATATTGATGTAATAATAGTCATGTTTGACTATTATTTTGTGACGATGTTTTTCCTGTTGGAACATATGACATTTGATATAAATTCGGTGAATCTCACGAGAACATCTTCCATTAGTTCTCGGGGATAAGTGGCTAAACGAGGACACGGTATAAACTCGCTGTCATGTGCAGGCACAATGCGCCTTGGCGCGTTTTCTTTCCTTGCGTTTCATGTGCACGCGTATTTCTTGACTTCGTATTCTGTTAATAGCCACAAAGGCTCGTGCAAGTGACATTCGGTTGGACGATTTAATTATCGGACCACGCGCTTCCCGTAAGCGTGAGCGCCATTAGACGTAATGAACCGGGATGTAATGAACTTTAACGAGCCCGCGCAAATTTCTTCCTTGTCCCGTCAATTTAGCGATTATAACCGCGATCATCACTATCTTTGCTTCGCCGTCTAATTAGGTTATACTTAAGATAGTAAAACGTCGCTTTATTTGAAGAAACGAGGAGAAACCCAGAAGTTGCATCTTTGGAAAAACATTGTTGACAAAGTCTGGAATAATCGATGCGAACTTTCAACATAAATTAAACAATTAGAGCGTAATAGATTTATACGAACTTGGACATTTACTTCAATAGTTTAAAATTTATTTAGCTACTTTTGCGCAGCTACTAAATTACGTCTTTCTTGTTTTGCAGTTACGGCCAATCATCCGCCCCAAAGACCATGGATTCCATTGACGAGGCCCAATAGGACAAGACCAACATGTAAGTATATTTATCCGTTTCATTTTTATTCAAGTTGCTTGTAACATCAGATTTGAAAACATTTTTCACATTGCAAATAAAATAAATGAAAGATAAATTCTTTATTTTGATTGGTGAACTCATTTATTAGATAAAAGAAAATTCGTTTCTTTTTTTTGAAATTTGCATGATAAATTATTTTATTTATAATTACACTACAATATAAGTATAAAGTACCGTTTCCCCGTAATCCACAGAAGCATCAATCGTTGCTCCGAACGCACTTAATCTTCTTCGCGTTCACATTATAATGCATGATAAGATTTTCATTAACGGACTCATCAACGTCGTTTCGTGCCATCGTACATTTGTTAAAAAGCGCGAGCCGCGACGCGTTGAATCAATATGTAATGTTCACAACGCGCACACGCACGTTGCATTGGGAAGGTAACGGACGAGCCCGAAGATAATGTATGGGAAAACATACGGTAAACATATGATAGTGAGTAATGCGCCGCTGTGACAATCGCACATGGCGAGTCAAAATATGACGAGCACGCGAATATGACGTAAAACAAATTACAATTTACGTCCAACAGCGTAATAAATTCACGCACTAAAGGCCACGCGGCGCCTGCTTTCCCTCGTGTCGCGATATTGAACTTCCCCGTTACTTGGGTCGTTACTTAAAGCTTAACACCGAGTTGCATTTATGCCTGTATGAGATCGTAACTATGTTCATTCCGCTTCATCATTAACGAAAACTATTTTAAAACGCGATCACGTTTGAAACAAAATATCTGTTTCAGAAGTAAAATATCAAGAGATTCACTCGTTTCGTTTTTGATAGCCTTAGAAAATGATGACAAGAATATATGTATATTAAGCTCATATCTCCTTTGCATTTCTTTGATTTTAATAATCATATTATATCTCTATAGTATTTTGTTCTTATATTTCCTAAAGTACTTACTGCGATATCAGTACCTTTGAAGATGTATAAAACGTATTTTTTAAATTAACGAATCATCTTCTAAAAGGATATATTTTCGGTCTTTTTCAATGTAAATCTAAAATAGAAGAACTAGCTACTTCTACTTTAGATAGTTACATTTACTCCGCTGAAAAAAATTTCTTGTTGAAAGTAGAAGAATCAGAATCTGGTTAAATTTATTAGAATTCTAGTTGAGATAATCCGAATTCTGGTTGATATAATATTTCTAGTAAAATCTACTAGAATTCTTATTTTTTTTTACCAGAATAATTATATCAATCAAAATTCTAGTATATTCAACTAGAATTCTAATAGATTTAATCAGAAAATTTCGATTCGTTCATTTTCCATTAGAATTACTGTCCAACCAGACCATTTTTCTCAGTATATCATCTTTAAATTGTTACTTAGAAGTAACATTAATTTAAATTTAACAGAGATTCCGAAATGAAATAGTATTATTTCACCTACGTTTAAACTTGTCATACTTTATCTTTTAAAAAAAAAGAAGCCAAAAACAGATACATTCACTGAAGATTCACAGAAAATCCTACTTGTACACGTTTATCCTCTCTTATTCTAATTTTTCGAAGCGAGGAACTTGCACGACGATATCATGTAAGGTAAATCGCGTAAATTCGCCTTAACGTACCCCGGGTTTGGACGATAGAGGCACCTTGACCATCGGTCAACGCCGACGAGTTTCGCAGCCCCGGGGCGTCGCGCCGCATCCCGCCATCGCCGACGGCTGTATACCGCACCATCTGGACAGATTTATTGCACGACACACGGGCACGGCGGCGGCGGTCGAGGTAGCAGGAAGAGGGTGAAAGAGGGAGAGAAAGCGCACACCGACAGAGAGAGGTACAAACGGCTGGCTAGTTGGATAGCTGGATGGTTGGCTGGTTGGTTGGTTGGTTGGCTGGCTGGCTGGCTGGTTGGTCTGCCACCGTCCAAAAGGAAGCCATTGTCGGCTCGCGTTGAACGCGATAAATCATTTCGCTACGGTTTACGCTATTCATTATTTACGAGGAGCCCTATTATACTTACGACGGTCGCTGATTAGTTATACAGTTTGCACGCATATATCTAGATGCGTATTGTGTTTTCTATAACAAACTCGCGATTGACACTCGCATTACTAATAGGTCTATGTTCCTTTAATCTTTCTTTCTTTCTTTTTATTTTATAAAACACAGGAAAAGTATCTCGGTTTAATTTGTATTTTGTAACTCGTTATAGACAGCGCTCGTTTTCTTGATTGCGAAAGTTTAATTTACGATATAAATGTGATACTGAAACTTATTTTTAAACTTAATTTTACGTCATACAGACGCAGAAAATTATATTTAACTTGTGAAAAAATTATAAGTGATAACGTAAATGTTTATGATATGTGCATAACTATTTCTCGCATAAGCATAGTACTTGCTTCTGGCTGTTAAATTGCTTGTCTTGGTCACGTGTACGTGCGGTAAGTAATAATTTATCAATAATTTAGAGAAGCACTAAAGCAGCAAATGACGAATGATTTGGCGTATCGCTGACTTTACCTGAAAACATTTCACTTTATTTTAAAGAAACAAAAAACGAAGCGGACTATTAAATTCTGGATAAATTACAGGTGCTTCTACTACCTCTTCTAAAAGGCGCTCATCGTAATTCCCGCAAGTGAACCTCACGTACGGGGTGTATAGTAAATTGCGGCAATCAACAACGGAAACGCATTTCCCGATGAATTTAAAGACGATCTTCTCGTAGAATCGAAAATTCCATTCTAGATTATAATTTAGATTAAAGTTCAATTAATGGAAGGTTTATTTAAGAAGGATAAAATCAAGTGAGCGAAACTTTTCAGTTTTTAACTATATGTAGCTTGAGAACCATAATTTATAATACGAATATTATGAGTAACATTATTATAATAAATATATAAAAAGACAATTATATTTATTTATTTATGAATACTATAAATAATCTAAATTCAAAATAAATAGAATAATATAAATTTTAATTAATAAATAATCGTCATACAAATTATCTTTTTCTAATTATAAAGGATACTGAACATTAACAATTCATTGATTGTGTTAAATAATTGCTCAACTAGATTGTCTACGATTTTTTATCATAGAAAATTTAATGTCAAATCATTCATTCCTTTTAATCGTTGTATTCCATGATACATCCTGTATAACTTATCGTTGCTCGAAGATTGAATTAAATCGCACATATCATTAATAAACGATTATGATCGAGCATTGAATATCACGAAGTTATTATGTTAGGAGAAAGAGAAAGAAAAAAAGAAAAATTAAAGCGTGTAATGCCAGGCTGCAATGACGCGACGTTCTACGCCACCACCGCCGTCGCTATCACGGTGGCTGCGTAATCGCTCAATGCACGTCGAATTCGCTTATGAACGCGGCAATTTAGGAATTACGCGTGTGCAAATGCTTAAAACCGATTTCACTGAGAATACCGCAATTATCGCGGCGACCGGACATTACGCGATTCCGCTGTACATGTTCAGGGTGGGTCTCTTCGCTGCCATCACCGTTATGCCACGGGACCTCTCGACGAGAATTATCTTCATATATGCATTCCGGAACGCGCGGAATCCCTTTTGCTTCAACGATGGGGAACATGTGTGATTCCGCTGAGCATCAATCGTACCCGAGCCGTTTCATGGTCGGTATGAATTTAATTTTCGGATGAGCGAACTCGATACTCTCATACCTTATCTTGATTTAGAGAATAATTTTACTCGATCGCTAACATCTATAAATATAAGAATTATTTTCTTTCTAATCGATTTTACTTAAGTATCTAAAAATTTGAAAGCTAGATATAGATCTAAAAATTTAAAAGCTCTAGATACAGATCTAGAAATTTGTTGGATCTCTCACCAGAATAATTATGTAGAACGCTCAAGTTGATTGCTAGAATATCAAAACTTTTTACAGTATTACTCATTATGCTCAAGTTTCCCCACACAGTTATTTTAATGGTCCAAGAAAATTATTTCCAGATCTGTATATTTTGAGATACTTTAAATAAAATCATTTCTTTTCTTATGGACAATTGAAACGTTCATTTTGCCGATTTCTCGATTCGTTACCTCGTATTAATTATCTTATCCGCAAGGATGGGCGTATCCTGAATGTTTCGCACGTCGTGCGAAGTTAGCGCGATGCCGACCCTGACGGCAGTCAGACAGGCTCGTGCAAATTACTTCTTGCACCTCGCGACGACCCTCACAATCATACTCATTACAGTGACCCATACATGGCTGGATCGGGTTTTACGGGACACGGAGCAATTACACGCCATTATCATTCCGATGCTTGTAACTGCTTGCGCACGCGCGATTATATTCTTATTAGAAATCGTTGCCGTGCCGGTAATCATCGCCGTTGCCGCTTTTGTCGCGATTATTACCGTCATCGCCGATGCAACGTTACACGGGCGAGCGAGCGAATAAACGAGAAAGCGATGCCGAGTTTGTTACTGTTAATATCGTGTGAGGAGCCGATTATTACTATCGCGTTCGGCTCGCCGGAAGATCATCATCGTTGCCTGTTACTTAATTACCGCGATTATCCCAATCTACAACGATAAGTAATGAAATAATGGCGTTCAGTCGTGAGATTCATTTAGATTCTGGGATAAGGCTCTGAGATGCACATATATAGCTGACGTGCGCTTCGTTCATTAAGCTTAAAATAGTGCTTAGCATGAAAGTGCGAAAGTCAAGTTTTCATAAAAGTATATTTATAATTGTTTATATATTTTTTTTATTAATTAATAAATAATATTATTAAATTTACATTACAGTGAAATGGATTAAAATTTATTTACTACGAAATTTTTATCAGATTGTAAATATGTTTCCAGCAGTCATAACGTACATATATTGCAATGTAAAGCGTATATACGAGTGTTAGAAGAATGTTATAAGAAAAAAGATACGTCGTATCTCGCGATGTTGCACAGAAATGATTGCCTTCTCAAATATACGTTTAGAAGGGAACTCTCTTTCTGTCGATTTATATCATTGCATTTCCGCGAGGCACGCTGCGTTTATACATTCGCAAAGTCGGTCGGGCACGGTATTTCGATCTACGAATAACTCCGGTTACTATGGGCACGCAAACCGGGTCGGGCTCTTGAATTTCGACTTCCAGTCGGCCAATTACTCGCGGGCAGATTTTTATGTTGTAAATATCCTGCCATTGCGGACTGGAGATTCGCGGTAATACCGATTTACGAGCCAACTATTTCGGCGTGCAGCTGCACGGGTTTGTTGCACCGCAAAGTCGGTTATTTATCGTCGCGGGGATCTTCGCGGAGTTGATCCTCGCTCGGAAATTTCGGCTCAGCTCGCAGCACGAGACACGTCGCCTTTTATAAAATACTTCGCAACGATTTCCCGCGACGTCTTCCAACTTGATTCGAGACAGTCTTCGGTCTATTTAAATCATTACTTCGATCGCTAGAAAATATGCCAGTACGACGCCATGTCGAACTTTTACTAATTTATTAATCTTTAAGCTGTTTGTCAAACGGGATATCCGGTACGAGAGCAGCTTTACGTGGCACGCGAGAACCGAGCTGGCGTGTGTAAATTAGGTAACCTGTTCAGATCTTCTCTTGTAGACTGGTTTGGCGACTCTTGAGGCAGGTCGCTGCTTAGCGCGGCATCGTTGACCTCAAAGAGGATGGCTAGTCTGTGAATGGACACTGCTATCATTGACTCGCCTTCTACAACGTAGCATTTGTAGGACATAAATAATTTGTACGACATAAATAATTGTAATCAAAAGTGAAAATATTATTTTTCTTTTTCTTGTACTTTAAATGTATGCTAAATTCGCGAAGCCACGACATCCTATTAATAAAAAATAATGACAGTTCTAGTAACTAGTGATAATAGATTCATTTTGATAATAATTTATTAATAACTTATTAACTGCCTTCCTTTGATAATATAATTATTATAGAACTGTCTGGATAATGTCAAATTAAACAAATATTTAAACAGACAGCTGATATCTAATTCTCTCCATGAATATTAAACCTATAATTCACAGATGACTTTCCTAGACTTGTACTAAAAGTTCTTCTTACTGTGATGCAATTAGCCCCTTTCTTTATGTGAATCCACAAGGTGTGTAACATTTACAATAGGTCGTCCGTTTGTACTTGCCACTCGGTCGAGAAGTTCGGGAAGTGTTCCTTTAAGCATATTCCATCAAGCTGCTAAAACACTTCGTAGATTAAAGTAATTAACAGGTTGACTGCCGGCTGCCGACTATGCTCTAAGTAGACCGTCGAACTTTAGCTTACGTCTTGCGAAACACTTTGTCGTGCTGGCAAGTTCGCTTGCACGCATTCGCAAAATACTTTTAGCTGCAAGTTTCACTAACCATTGAATATTCACATTATTATTGTCCAAGAGTTGATAACGAAAATTGGAACTCTTTATTAAAAGGTTGTACTTCAAAGTGGAAATTAATGGAAATTTTTGATGGAACAATTTTTCTTTTTTCGATTAATGTAGACATTTGTAAAATGCTTATTTGATATTCGTCGAAGAATTAATTAGGCGATTAAAATTGTTATATAGAATGCATATATATTTTGCATATATATATGATTAGAAAGTTCTTTTTATCGAAACATAACTTAACATTAGAATTGTCGTGATAAATGGTGTCATTTTGCCTCCACCAATTGTTTCAATTTTTTTCTTTTTTGTATTAGATACAATACAGAAGATACATGAATATAATAAAAATAATTCTAACAATACAAATAATATCATAATAACTTTCACTAAACGGAAACAAAGAAATGATTAATTTAGTGGATTTTTTAACATTTAACTTTGGAACTTCTAGCGGGATACCATCGGTGGTTCTAATGTTAAACCGAAGAAATATCTCCGAAATTTGTATTATTTCCTTAACACAACAGCATTTGTCTCAACAGATGATACTGCAAATATTATATTCAGATGCAATACTGGATGCAGAAGCATG